TGTTTAGTTCTTTGCAACCCATGGCTAATTCGCCACCAAATATATATATATATATATATATATATATATATATATATATATAATCACTTTATCATTTAGATTTACAACAGAACGCTGCGGGGTTACATAATAATAATAACAATAAAATAATGGCGAGGGTTGTCACAAAGGTTTGTTATTTATCAAATGAATACCAATTGAAATGTGAGCATTAAAACAGGGAGTGTGTAACTCTCAGTGTGGTTTTATTCTAGAAGTTATACAGTTAGCGACTAAAGATGCGCATTTCAGCGGTGCCTTGACCTCACAAGTATGGCACCACAGTCATTTGGGTCGATATTGGAACATATTTTGTAAACAATTTAGTGGGGAATGGTAATTCTTAAGTCAGTTCAGTGTGTCGGGAAAACAATCAATCATTTAAACGAAACGAGCGCTCCGCCCGTATGCATTAAACTAATGCACGATCAAAAGCAAATGTAAATGACTAAAATTTCGTAGACTAAGCTGACGATAATGTTTTATGAACAGACACATATTAGGACTGGATTCACTTAAGTTACGAGGAAACCCAAATTGATAAGAAATGATACAGAAATCAAAACGGAAAGTAGATCAAGAAATAACTGGCATGAAATGAATTGTAACTAACCGGATAACGGAACCATAGATGAAATATGCCACACATTAAGAACGTTCTTCTCCGTGTCACCATGAGAGATCAAAACACCAGGAACGGTAAGCAAGGCCGCCGTAACCTTCGACCAATCTGAAGGGGGATTCTTGATGATCAGTGGGGAATGAACCAATGTTCCTTGATGAGCAGGCGTATAGTTAGGCACAATGGATTCAATCGGTAAGGGCCGAGTCTGGAAACCAAGGTCATCTACAATTTCAGCCAATGTGATCTCCGTAAGACCAGAAGCCGCAGTGTACACGACCACCGCTTGACCATTATTGAGGGACACCTGTATAAGAATCAAAAGTAAATATTCGAAAGCTGGTTTACGCCAACAATTTGCATCATCATGGTACAGCGAAATACGGTGAAGAGAACACCGTTGATCGGTGTCAAGCTCACGATGAATAAAATTAATTAAGAATAGATAAGGTGCATAGAGAATGGGTACCTTAATGGAGGGGGAAGCGAGCCCCTACGGTCAATACAGAGTACACAGTCGATGTATGCAAACTCGGGCCTGATAAGAAATGACAATAACGCCCCTTCTGTCGGTTCGCAGCTCCATCCTTTGGGGTCTCCAACCAATCATTCTTTCGGAGGCCCACTTGGAAGATTGATGTTTTTTTCCAAAACTGGAGCAGCAACAACAAGGGACTACTTGGCATGCGCAATACAGATCCAGACGAGCGAGGCTTGTTTACCTGAATTCGACGTGATGACAAATTCTAGACGAAATCATAAATTAATACTTGCCGGTTTACCTTAGTATTGCTTACACGCTTGTTCCATCCTACTCACTCCAAACTAAGCAAAAATCGGTGATAGAAGACTCCCGGTTGACAGATGTCTTCCACACTTGTGGGGTGAGGCTTCGTCTTCTTCCCTTTCCCTTCTTGATCGTGTTCAACGAAAGGCCATCCGGCTAATCGATGATCCTTCCCTAACATCCAGTCTGCATTCGCTAACCCATCTTAGGGCAGTTGCTCCATTGTCCCTGTTCTACCGCTGCTACTTTGGCTTTTGTTCTTCGGAACTTGTCTCGGTAGTTCCTCTTCCTGCAACTTTTTAACNCCCATCCCGTACACAAGCATCCAGTCATCCTTATCAGATTTCTGATCCCAGATGCCGTACTTCTCTGCTCCACTCTTCTTTCTTCCGCGAACTGCCAAACTGTGGAACACCCTCCCACTTTCTATCTTACACTTTTTGAACATCATCATCATCGTACAGCGAGATACAGTGAAGCGAGCTTCACGGATCGCTGCCGAGCTCGCAATGTACACAAATCAAATGATAAAGCAAAAGATGGAGAGGGATTGGGCCCACTTGAAGGGAAGCAAAGAAAAAGAACCTCTATGTTCAACACAGAGTACACAATCTAAGTGTTCATGCATACCTTTTTCAAGCATTCTGCCTTGTTAAGAAATGACAACAAGAGCGCCACTGATGTCGGTCAGTCGCCATATCCTTTAATGTCTCCAGCCAACCAGTTGTAGTCTTTCGGATCCCAACATGGAAGACGGGAAACACCGATTCTACCTAATCGCTCTGCGCATTTCTTCATGCCTCGCTTCCATGTCATCTGTTGACCACCACGCGGTTTCCNATGTCATCTGTTGACCACCACGCGGTTTCCTCCAACTTGGAGCCGTAACTGCGAATAAGGTGCGGTGCGGCAGACGATAGCTGGACATGCGCAATACGTGTCCTAACCAGCGAAGCCAAATAATCTGAATTCGATGGGACAAAGAATTCTCCAGCGAATCATTACCAAATACGCGACGCCTCACCTCATAGTTGCTTACAAGCTCGCTCCATCCAACCCGCGCCAAACTACGTAAACATCTGCAGTCCAATACTTCAAGACGACGAATATCTTATTTATCTATATATATTTAGGGTCTCGCAACCATAGAGTAGAACTGGCCGCACACTGGTGCAATATACACGACCTTTCAGTTTCAACGAAACATCGCGTCTACACCAAAGGTGTTTCAATCCTGCGTAAGCTGCTCGAGCCCTGGAAATGCGGGCGGTTAGTTCATTGACTATGCTACCGTCATTTGAAACGCAGCTACTTAAGTAGGTGAAACATTCCATTACAGCTAATTCTTGAACATCAAGCATCAGCGCTGGGGTAGACGACACCCAGTCTTGTAGCATCACTTTGCACTTTGAAGGTGCAAAGCGCATACCGAAAGGAGATACAGAACTTGCTAGGCTGTCGGGAGCGCATTGCGCATCCTCCATAGATTCGAACAGGTATACGATGTCATCGGCGTACTCCAAATCGCACAGCTTTTCTCTAGCTGCCGATTCAATACCTACGTTCTGGAGACCAGTAAGTGCGTTCTCCAGTACTTCGTCTACGACGAAATTGAACAGGAATGGCGAAATAGGGCACCCTCGACGGACACCGCTCCTGGTTTCGAACCATTTACTTACCCCATCGTAGACTCTCACGCCACCAGAAGTATGCAGATACAACGACCGCAATAGGTTTACATACTTCCGCCGCATTCCTTTGTGGAGCAGCGACCCCAACTGAATCGAAGGCTCCTTTAAGGTCAAGGAACATTGCGATTGCTGGTCGACAATGCGTGTGACGCAGTTCGAGGACTTGACACAGAGTGAAGATTTGGTTGATGCATCCGCGACCTGGTCGGAATCCGGCTTGTTTTTCGCGGATATTCCTCTCCCTTAAGTGTGTCAGGCACCGAAGTATCACAGAAGTCAACACTTTTGTGATTATCGGAACTAAACTAATCCCACGATGGTTAGCGCAGTCGTCGCGTGATCGCTTCTTGAAAATAGGGACGATCGTCGATTCACCCCAGGACAAAGGGATACGCTCCTCCGCCCACATGCTGCGAAGTGAGCTAGTAATCGAGTCGACAAGAGAATCTCCGTCCACCTTGAAAAGAATAGGGAGAAGCCCATCAGATCCCGCAGCCTTTCCTTTCTTTAATGATTGAATGCAGC